AACTATTTCTTTAAATTTTATCATATTACATTTGTTCTCACTAGCCACTAAATATAATTTGGATCAATTTTTTTGGCATATTAAGGAACATAAATATCTGCATAATTGCAAGTATGGGCAATTATAACATATGACTAAATATGACATAATAGAGATTTTAACGCAGGCTAATAATAAAAATATTATGGGAAAAGTTAAGTTGCCACTTGGTTATAGAGGAGAAACTGGTGGTTCATAGAAACTCCATGAAGATCTAAAGTAGATTTCTCTTTATATTAGTTATGAATAAATATTTACATTTTTTATATAAATTCATCTCTAATAAATAATGTACCATCTCTTTAGACTATAATATTTTACTATCTGGTGTCCTTGCAAAAATAATTGCAAGAGGTAAACATGTGTTTTTTTTCACAACTACTTAAAAGATAAGAAGACTCTTAAAATTAAAAGGTCATATATTGCTTAGCTCTCCCAAACTTATATAATTTTTAAAATATTAGGTTAAGAGGAAATTTCACCATAATATAAATTTTAGTCCAAAATTAATAGTTGATGATGTGGAAAACTCTATATGTTTAAGGAATTTATTTCAACATATATGAGTATTTGAATTTTTCTTATAATGAATAGTTGAAAAATAAGTTGCTATAACAATACTAGACCTAAACCCTTTTTCTCTTTTAATTCGAATTATATTTGAATATTATTTATGTTTATTAGTTATTTTATTTCAAAATCTAACATCTTTAGCTTCCATTAACACTCAATAGCCTAGAAATTCATTCAAATAATGATGAGGCATGCCATCTCATTATTTGTTGATATTTCTATTTATTTTTTTGGATGACTTGCCCTGTAGTGATTTGTTTGAAAGTTCTATTATCCAAAAAAATTTTCAATTATTATTATTTAAAACTTGAATTCCAAAAATACTTATCATTTAAGATGTATTTGTTTCTTCGCCATAACAATTGAGCATTCCATTATTTCTTTTCCATATTAAATAGGGGAACTGGTCGGCTTATAAATAAAATCGTTTCGCAGACCTAACGGATCTCATACCTTTCCTAGTTTATTTGATTGAGCCTTACTATCAAGTCATGTGTTTATTTTTTGAAGTAGATACATAGCTTGAGGTATAGCGCTCTTTCATCTAAACTTCGAAAGATATGGGATCAGTTTGATTTCATATTTTTCTAAAATTATATATATATATA